TGTCGCCGTCGCCTTTGCCGCCGCCGCCGTCGTCGTTGTCGCCGTCGTCGTCGTCGTCGTCGTCGTCGTCGTCGTCGTCGTCGTCGTCGTCGTCGTCGTCGTCCTCGTCCTCGTCGTCGTCGTCGTCGTCGTCGTCGCTGCCGCCGTCGTCGTCGTCATCGCCGTCGCCGCCGCCGCTGTCGCCGTCGCCGTCGCCGTCGCCGAGGCCGCCGTCGTCGTCGTCGCCGTCGTCGTCGTCGTCGTCGCCGCCGCCGTCGCCGAGGCCGCCGCCGCCGCCGTCGTCGATGTCGTCGTCGCCGTCGTCTTCGCCGTCCGTCGTCGTCGTCGTCGTCGTCGTCGGCGTCACCGCCGCCTGTGTCGCCGTCGCCGCAGGCGCCGTCGTCGTCGCCGTCGTCTTCGTCCTCGTCGTCGTCGACGCCCCGTCGCCCCGGCGCCGCCGCTGCCGCCGTTTTCGTCGTCGCCATCGCCGTCGTCGTCGTCGTTTGTCGTCGTCGTTGTCGTCGTCGTCATCATCATCGTCGTCGCCGTCGCCGTCGCCGTCGCCGCCGCCCGCCGCCGCCGTCGCCGTCGCCGCCGCCGCCGCCGCCGCCGCCGTCGTCGTCGACGTCGTCGTCGTCGTCGTCGTCGCCGCCGTCGTCGATCGTCGCCGTCGTCGCCGTCGTCTTCGCCGTCCGTCGTCGTCGTCGTCGTCGTCGTCGTCGTCGTCGGCGTCGCCGCCGCCTTTGTCGCCGTCGCCGCAGGCGCCGTCGTCGTCGCCGTCGTCTTCGTTGTCGTCGTCGTCGACGCCCCGTCGCCCCGGCGCCGCCGCTGCCGCCGTTTTCGTCGTCGCCATCGCCGTCGTCGTCGTCGTTTGTCGTCGTCGTTGTCGTCGTCGTCATCATCATCGTCGTCGCCGTCGCCGTCGCCGTCGCCGCCGCCCGCCGCCGCCGTCGCCGTCGCCGCCGCCGCCGCCGCCGCCGCCGTCGTCGTCGACGTCGTCGTCGTCGTCGTCGTCGCCGCCGTCGTCGATGTCGTCGTCGCCGTCGTCTTCGCCGTCCGTCGTCGTCGTCGTCGTCGTCGTCGTCGTCGTCGGCGTCGCCGCCGCCTTTGTCGCCGTCGCCGCAGGCGCCGTCGTCGTCGCCGTCGTCTTCGTTGTCGTCGTCGTCGACGCCCCGTCGCCCCGGCGCCGCCGCTGCCGCCGTTTTCGTCGTCGCCATCGCCGTCGTCGTCGTCGTTTGTCGTCGTCGTTGTCGTCGTCGTCATCATCATCGTCGTCGCCGTCGCCGTCGCCGTCGCCGCCGCCCGCCGCCGCCGTCGCCGTCGCCGCCGCCGCCGCCGCCGCCGCCGTCGTCGTCGACGTCGTCGTCGTCGTCGTCGCCGTTGTCTTCGTCGTCGTCGTCGCCGTCGCCGAACTTTCTCGTCGTCCGTCGTCGTCGTCGTTGTCCGTCGTCGTCGCCGTCACCCGTCGTTGTCCTGGACGTCGTTGTCGTCCTTGTCTTCCCAGCGCGTGCGAGGCGGCGGCTCGCCCATCCCGGCTCTGTCGCTGTCGGACGTCTTCGTGCTACATCTCCAGATGCAGCAGTCGAGCTCGGCGGTCCGCTTTTTTTCGTTGTATTTTCATTATACTGCCCGCTTCTTCCATGCTTATGATTTCCCATGTATCTCTTGCCGCACGCTTTCTATTGAGTCCCGTTTGTGATTCGCCTGCCCGCCCTCGGCGTTGTTTTATTTTGGAGTCCCGTTCGTGATTCACCTGCCCGCCCTCGGCGTTGTTTCATTGTTTGTATTACATCTTCTTCTATTTCATTGTCATGTTCTTGGGCTGTCTTGGGGCTTGGGCCGTCAAGGGGCGCTCTTGCGGATCCGTCGTGGAGACCCCCCCCTCCTCCAGCGCATCTACAGTGGGCCCTTTTGTAAAAACCGCAAACGGAGGATGGTATTCTGATCCGGGACCCCCCCCCCCGGGACCCCCCCCCTGGACTCCCCCCCAGGACCCCCCGCGGGACCCTCCCCCACCCCCGGCGGGGAAGGGATCAAAGGGAAGGGGCTTCCCTTCGACTCAATGACAATGTTGTCAATTTCGCTTTGGCTGGGTTGCTTCACTTCGCTTTGGCTGGCGCGCTTGAGGACGAGGGCCCAGGGAAAAAAGGGGGGGAGCGGCGACGGACCCAGAAAAGAAGACGATGAAGGGCCCAGCCCCAGCGGGACGACGAGATCCGTACAGATCCGCTGCCTCGGGCCAGGCCCAGCCTGGGCCCGGGAGCGGTGACGACACGAGCGACGAACGGCGAGCGGCGAACGACGGCGAGCGGCGAGCGGCGAACGACGCATTGACCACGACGAACGCGACGAGCCACGGGCGACGACCGAGGACCCACCGACGCACGACGACCCGCCCGAAGACGAGCCGGTGCGAGCGGCGACGGCGCACCCGTGGCCTCAGGGGCACGGCCCGCCGCTGGCGCTGTCGTGCGGCGGCGTGGAGCAGCCGCTGCAGGGCGGGTGCGCGCGGCGCACGCTGGCGCCCCGCCGCCGCCGTCGCGCGTCGCCGCCGCCGGCTGCCGCACGACGTCGTTGCCGCACGACGACGTCGCCGCCGCCGTTGCCGTCGTCCGTCGTCGTCCTTGCTGTCGCCGTCGTCGTCCGTCGTCGCCCGTCGTCGTCCGTCGAAGCCGCCGCCCCAGCCGCCGTCGTCGCCGTCGCCGTCGTCGTCGCCGCCGTCGACGTCGCCGTCGTCGTCGTTGTCGTCGTCGTCGTCGTCGCTGTCGCCGTCGTCGTCATCATCGTTGTCCATTGTTGCTGTTATCTGTCGTCGACGTCGTAATCTTCGTCGTCGTCTTCGTTGTCAGTCGCTGCTGTTATCTGTCGTCGTAGATATTGTCGCCATCGTCGTCGTCGTCGTTGTCGTCGTCGTCGTCGCCGTCCGTCGCCGTTTTTTTCGTCGTCGTCGTCGTCTTGTCGTCGTCGTCGTCGTCGTCGTCGTCGTCGTCGCCCGTCGTCGTCGTCTTCGTCGTCCGTCGTCGTCGTCGTCGTCGTCCGCCGCAGTCGCCTCCGCCGCCGTCGTCGCCGTCGTCGTCGTCGCCGCCGCCGCCGCCGCCGATGCCCCGCAAACGCCGCCGCCGCCTCTGGAGCCGTCGTCGTCGTCGTCGTCGTCGTCGTCGTCGTCGTCGTCGTCGTCGTCGTCGTCCGTCGTCGTCGTCGTCGTCGTCGTCGTCCGCGGCAGTCGCCTCCGCCGCCGTCGTCGTCTTCGTCGTCGTCGTCGTCGTCGTCGTCGTCGTTGTCGTCGTCGTCCTCGTCGTCGTCGTCTTCGTCGCGGTCGCCGCCGTCGTCGCCACCGCCGCTGCCGCCGCCGTCGTCGTCATCGTCGTCGTCGTCGTCGTCATCGTCGTTGTCCATCGTCGCTGATATTTGTTGTCGTCGCCGCCCTCGTCGTCGTCGTCGTCGTCGTCGTCGCAGTCGTTCTCGTCGTCGTCGTCGTCGTCGTCCTTGTCTTCATTCCCCACATCCTGAGTGGGGTTCTTGTTTTCCCAGAACACCCTCTCCTTCTCCTCCTCCTCCCGCGTCCTTCTCCTAAACCATACCATACCAAGCCATACCATACCAATACCTTACCATACCAATACCATGCCAAGCCATACCAAGCCATACCATATCAATACCATACCATACCATACTAATACCATACCATACCATACCAAACCAATACCAATACCTTACCATACCAATACCATACCAAGCCATACCAAGCCATACCATATCAATACCATACCATACCATACCAATACCATACCATACCATACCATACCAAACCAATAACATCCCAAGCCATACCAAGCCATACCATACCAATACCATACCATACCAATACCATACCAAACCACGAACAGAACAGAACAGCCCACCCACCCCTCCAGGGAGGCCCCGCCTGAGCGAGGAGGGTATTCGCATCACCTGTTATTTATCAGGTTTCGTGCCCCTCCACCCCTCCAGGGAGGCCCCGCCTGAGCGAGGAGGGTATTCGCATCACCTGTTATTTATCAGGTTTCGTGCCCCTCCACCCCTCCAGGGAGGCCCCGCCTGAGCGAGGAGGGTATTCGCATCACCTGTTATTTCTCAGGTTTCGTGCCCCTCCCACCCCTCCAGGGAGGCCCCGCCTGAGCGAGGAGGGTATTCGCATCACCTGTTATTTATCAGGTTTCGTGCCCCTCCCACCCCTCCAGGGAGGCCCCGCCTGAGCGAGGAGGGTATTCGCATCACCTGTTATTTATCAGGTTTCGTGCCCCTCCCACCCCTCCAGGGAGGCCCCGCCTGAGCGAGGAGGGTATTCGCATCACCTGTTATTTATCAGGTTTCGTGCCCCTCCCACCCCTCCAGGGAGGCCCCGCCTGAGCGAGGAGGGTATTCGCATCACCTGTTATTTATCAGGTTTCGTGCCCCTCCCACCCCTCCAGGGAGGCCCCGCCTGAGCGAGGAGGGTATTCGCATCACCTGTTATTTATCAGGTTTCGTGCTCCTCCCACCCCTCCAGGGAGGCCCCGCCTGAGCGAGGAGGGTATTCGAATCACCTGTTATTTCTCAGGTTTCGTGCCCCTCCCACTTCTCCAGGGAGGCCCCGCCTGAGCGAGGAGGGTATTCGCATCACCTGTTATTTCTCAGGTTTCGTGCCCCTCCCACCCCTCCAGGGAGGCCCCGCATGAGCGAGGAGGGTATTCGCAAACCATGTGATAGAAAAGGATGGAGAGGGCGAGGGCAGGTCGGCAATTTCTCTACAAAATGTTGCTTGATCCCGCTAGCCCAAAAACATCATTATGTGGGGAACTCCGTTAGCATAATCTTTTCTGTCCATCGGCGCTGCTCTCTATTGGCGTCGTAGTCTTCGTCGTTGTCGTCGTCGTCGTCGTCGTCGTCCGTCGTCGGTCGTCGTCGTCCGTCGTCGTCGTCGTTGTCGTCGTCGTCGTCGTCGTCGTCGTCGTCGTCGTCATCCCTGCCGTCGTCGTCGTCGTCGTCGTCGTCGTCGTCGTCGTAGTCGTAGTCGTCGTCGTCGTCCTTTGTCGTTGCGGTCGCCCCCTTCGCCGCCGCCGCCGTTGTCGTCGTCGTCGTCGTCGTCGTCGTCGTCGTCGTCATTCGTCGCCGTCGCTGTCGCGGTCGCCACCGCCGTCGCCGTCGTCGTCGTCGTCGTCCGTCGTCGTTGTCCGTCGTCGTCGTCGTCGTCGTCGTCGCCGTTTTCGTTGGCCATCGTCGCTGTTATCTATCGTTGCCGTCGTCGTCATCGTCGTCGTCGTCGTCGTCTCCGTGGTCCGTCGCCGCCGCCGCCGCCGTTGTCGTCGTCGTCGTCGCCACCGGCGCCACCGTAGTCGTTTACGTCATCGTCATCGTTGCCCATCGTCGCTGTTATTTGGTGTCGTCGCCGTGGTCGTCGTCGTCGTCGTCGTCGTCGTTGTAGTCGTCGTCGTCGTCGTCGTCGTCGTCGTCGTCGTTGCCTATAGTTGCTGTTATCTGTTGTCGTTGCCGTCGTCGTCATCGTCCTTGTCGTCTTCGTCGTCGCTGCCGCCGCCGCCGCTGCCGTCGTCGTCGTCGTCGTCGTCGACGTGGTTCGTGGTCGTCGTCGTCGTCGTCTTCGTTGCCCTTGTCCGTCGTTGTCGTTGCCGTCGTCGTCGTCGTCGTCGTCCTCGTCACGGTCGCCGCCAATGCCGTCGTCGTCGTCGTCGTCGTCCTCGTCGTCGTCGTTGTCGTCCGTCGTCGTCCTCGTTGTCGTTGTCCTTCTTGCCGTCGTCGTCCTCGTCGTCGTGGTCCGCCGTTTTCTTCGTCGTCGTCGTCGCCGTCGTCGATGCCAACGTTGCCGTGATCGTCGTCGTCGTCGTTCCCGTCGTCGCCGACAGTCGTCGTCCGTCGTCCTTGTCCGTCGTCGTCGTCGTCGTCGTTCGTGGTCGTCGTCGTCGTCGTCGCCGTCGTCGTCGCCGTCGTCGTCGTCGTCGTCGTCGTCGTCGTCGTTGTCGTCGCCGTTGTCGTCGTCCGTCGTCCTCGTCGTCGTTTTCGTTGTCGTCCGTCGTCGTCGTCGTCGGCGCCGTCGTCGTCGTCTTGGTCGTCGTCGTCGTTGTCGTCTTCGTTGTCCACCGTCGCTGTTATCCGTCATCGCCGCCGTCGTCGTCGTCGTCGTCGTCGTCTTCCGTCGTCGTCATCCTTGTCGTCGTCGTCGTCGTCGTCTTCGTTGTCCATCGTTGCTGTTAGTCGTCGTCGCCGCCGTCGTCGTCGTCGTCTGTCGACGTCGTCGTCCGTCATCGTCTTTCGTCGTCGTCTTCGCCGTTGTCGTTGTGGTCGTCGTCGTCTTCCTTGTCGTCGTCTTCGTCGTAATCGTTGTCGTTGTCCTCGTCTTCGTTGTCCATCGTTGCTGCTGTTATCCGTCGTCGTCGTCGGCCGTCGTCGTCGTCGTCGTCCGTCGTCGCCGCCGTCGTCGTCTCCGCAATTGTCGTCGTCGTCTTCGTTGTAGTCGTTCTCGTGGTCGTCGCCGTCGCCTACGCCGTCGAGTAAATATGCTCCTCTCCGCCTCATCTTATACTTGCCTCTCTCGCTGCCTGCCTTGCCACACCTTGACCCTGCGGCTTTGTACCGCAGCTGTTTGTGCTTACAGGACAGAAAAGGAGCGCACCAGCCCTCGGCCGTCGCGTGTCGTCGGTCGTCGGCCGGCCTGCCTCCTCCCTTCCCACTCCTGAGTACAATTGCTTAACGGTTACTTGTAGTTTCATCGATGTCTCATCCCGTATCCTCTACTACTGAGCAGAGTCAACACGAGACCTTAATTCCTTTGTCATCTTACCCCGATTCTCAGAGGAAAGACTGGTTATCAGCCGAAAGTCTCTCCAAGAGCTCGTCTTCGGCGGTGCAGCATTTTTCCCATCAGCCAGAGTAGTAGCAGTGGTCGCTTTACCAAAGAGGGGGCTTCGCACGTGCGCTCTGATTGTGGTGCCCGAGAACCGGGATACGAAGTCGGCTCCGCCGTCCTGTGCTCCAGTCAGTGCTCTGGTCACGGGGGCGGGGGGTCGGACATTCAAGGAAAAAGGGGGCACTTGCGGCCAAGCCGCCAGGTGCCGACGATGTCACGAAAGAGGGGGCAGTCGTTTCCTCCCTTCTGTGAAGGCCAGACAGTCAGGGTTTAGTAGCCTGGCTCGACATCTTCTGGCAAATACAGCTACCGTGCTTGAAGCCAGACACAGTGTCAAGAGGAAGCTCACAGAGCGCTGTACACGTGGTGTTTTCCGTACGTCGGAAACAAAGGTGTCGTTCGTGTCAACGTCGGCCTGCCCCGCGTCACGCTGGAGACGGAACGGACCACGGGTGCCTGCAGCCCTTAAGGCAGGCGCGTCCCCGGGCAAGAGACACCCCACCATAATGGGTGCACTCGGCCCGTGGGGGTGGGCACATCATTCAAAGATGCTTGTGCCCTTGTTACAGTGTTTCGACAAGTTGTATTCGCTGTCACATTCTCCATATTCCGTTCACTCGCGACCGAAGGAGCATCCCAAG